TGCAGGAGGGAGGAGTGTGAATTAGATATAATACCTCTTCTGTGAAAACTCAGTTATTTGTGTTCTTTGATAGAAAGGCTGTAATTTCAAGTTTTGCTGATGGTTATAAAAAAACACATGCACTCAATCAAAAAGCTTTTATGTGCTTTAGGACTAAGGAATGTGAGGCCCTGTTAATAAGCTGAGCCTTATTTCTGACTGCTCCAGCTTCAGAGTGGGGCTTCAAGAGGACACTAACAGCAGCACTGTATCTGCTCTGTTCTGGGTCAGATGCTTGTCAGGTAGACAAAACCCTTGATCTTGAGATGTCTCTGTCTGGCACTTGTGCTTTGCCCACACCTGAATGGGGCTTACCCTGTGCTCAGGTCTCAGCAGCAGCCTTTCCTGGTTAGTCTAGAGTCAGGGGAGAGAGCATATACGGCCACAGATGTACTCATGTGTCTGATTTATTTGAGGGGTGCGAGGGCGAGGGGGAGGAGAAGGAGGTGCCAGACAACTTAATCCTATTTGCAGGTCAAATCCAAAGTTTTTTTTTATGATGGTTTAATGGGAATTTTGCCTAAATGCGAAATGAATAAGGATTTAGAGTTTTGCCTTTGGTTTTGCGTTTACCGAGGAAAGATCTTGGGAACACCACTGTGTTATGTTGCCTCTTGATTGATTTCTTGAGATGCATCCTTTCGAAATATCCTTGTATTTAGAGCCATGTGAGCATCTGTATGCAAAAAGCTAAATTATAAAGGATTAGAAAAGCCTTCCCAGCTTTCTGCCTCTCTATAGGTCTACAGCAGACAAACCATCAGTCTTCTGAAATTCAGCTAGTATAAAAGACATAAGGAGCTTGGCAGTTGTCTGAAAGTAATTTTCTATTGCAAGCTTAATTTTGACAATCGTGGTCCATGCTACTTTTTGGGCTGTCTCCAGAAGTATTTCAAGAACTGATCTCTTTATTTATGGGTTCTGTTTATGGATTTATGGATCACATGGCCATTGTCAACTCTTCTAGAAGAAGGAGCTCCCCCTGCTAGAGTAACTGTTGCACATCTTCCCAGAGCCTTGCTATTTAAAAAGCTAGCTTACTCTGGTACAGTGATGCTTGCAGGGTTTTGTCTCTCTCTTGCACAGATTGAATGTTTTGAACTTACTATTGAACTTAGCCTACCAGGTAGGGGACACTATCTGGTCTCCTCACCACCAATGCCCTTACTTGCATGCATTCAACACAACAGCAGTAGCAGGGCAGAGGCCCGTGGGAGAAAATTATGTCTGATAGCAAAGGATCAGTGGAAATGGTGATCCTCATGGTATAAAGGTGAAGATCACCCCATGCCAAATGAATTTCCACTGTTGTTGCAGCCTCCTCTCCTGTCGTTTGCATCCCACAGGGCCAGGACAGTGATGTTGCTGGAATGACACCTCTCTGTGCCAGATGTGGATGCGTTTTGTTGCACTGGCGTCAGAGGAGTGACACCTCCTCCTGGGTGACTAGCAGTGACTCAGGACTGTGCTGCAGGCCTGTCTGGTGGCTCAGAGTGGGACTTGCACTGAAGGGTGGCTCTTGTCACAGTTAGCACAGTTCCTGCTACTTAAAGGAGGGGTAAGGGACATGTCTGCTTTACTCTGGGCAGGCCAGAACTACATAGATCCCCTCCAGTAATTTCTGGACTGAGTTTAGTAGATATATCTAAGGGAAAACTTGCAGCTTGTATAAGCAACCTTGCTGACCTAGAGCTACAGAGTGAGTTTTAACTCTTCTGTCTTCTGTCATCTGAACGTTAAAACTGTTACTGCAATGTTTTATTAACAGCAGTTTTAAAATGTTATAGTTTTATTCTATGTTGTCAAGCACTTTTGCACCAGTTCCCAAGAAGACAATGACAGTAAGAATGCTTCACTGTTTTTCAGATTGGCTAGGTTAATGCTTTTCATGTTAATGAACACATATTAAGATTTCATTAGACAGTGCATCTGTGGGCAAAGTTCCTGTTGATCTCACTGGGGAGTTTTATCTGTGTCAAAGAACTGCAGGATCAGGTCATTATTGTACCACTTTAGAAAATGATTGTGACCTGTACGTAATGTTAAAATGTTTGTCAAAGCACTTGAAAAACAGTGAAGAAACATATTCCCAAATTCTGAGATTTTAGTCTATGACCCATTGCCTGAGTTTGGAGGTCCTAACACATAAACAGAGGCTACCCTGGTGAAGGTTGTTTTTGAAATAATATATGATTAGTTTGAGGAATAGTAGTAAAATTACCCTCTGCTTAAAATCAAATTAAAAATTTAAGACGGACTGGCAAGCTCCTGGAGTGTATTGGGGAAAGGCTAGAATAGAAACCATCATGGCATTACAGAAGGTAGACAGATAATGTTAATTACAGAAGGTGGTTGTCCCACAGAGAAGGAGGTTGGTGGTAGCATTGATTTATTTCAGAGGGCAGTTTAGTCATTGTACTATTCCTAGACAAGGCTCTGAATTTAAGTGATACTTGACTCTTAAGTCATTTTTGAAACCAAATTTAGGTGCTTGAGTCACGTAGATGTTTTTGAAATTACTTCTCTCTTTCTGTCAGCCGTTTCTGCATGGCTGATCTTGGAAGACACAGCACTTACTGGCTGCTGTACAGTTAAGTAGGAGCTGGGAGTTGGAAGTGTCAAGAAGTTGGTGGATACCTGCCAGCAACTGCAGTACAGATAAGGATGATCTGATGTGCCTGGGGTGTTATGGAGCTGCTGTGCTTGTGCAGTTGGTCTCTGTGTACACCTTGAGCCAGAGGCACCTGGAACGTGTCAACTTCACTGTGCATCTGCACACATCTACCTTGCAGCCCAGAGATCTTGGCCTTGCTGCTCGTCATCATTCTGCACATGTTCACTGGCCCTTCCTCAGGGATTTCCCACCATCCCGCAGCCAGAATGCTAGAGCTGGAGCTGGCTAACAGCCCTCAATGGGGCTGAGAGGCTCAGTCAGGCACTGGGGCTATAGTAGACAGGCAGATGAGTAGGCTTTGGAGGGAGAAGGTAAGTGGGCTAACGTGGAAAATCTTGCTCTTCTGAATTAGTTCAGGTAGCATGAAGAAGTGTATTGTTTTTTCGGATCAAGGGTGTCAGATATGGATTTGTGATCCTGATACTGCATAATCAATTCTCTTCCCTCTGCTATGCTTTGTCAGGAGCTGTTTTGTTCATTTTGTTCATTTGCAGTCTTTGTTCATGCTTTCTTTCCTGTTTTGCTTGTCTTTATAGATTTTTATCTGAAAGTTGAAAATGTTTTTGTTGCTATTGGGAAGATTGCACCCGCTTTTGGAAAGAGGCGAATGACAGAACATGATAATAAAATAGCCATTCAAGATGCATTTGTTAATGCTGATAACATGAAAATGTTGCCTGGAATATTCACAGTGCAAGGGAGAGGGAAGGGACCTCTTCAAGTGTTTGGGGTCCAGTTCATCTCTTTGAATTGCTGTCATCTGAAGGTTAGGCATCTGCTGTAAACTGGCTGACTGGGCACCCACTTCAGACCATGGAGAGGGATGGGAAGGGACAAAATCCCTTCTGGAGATTTATATCTTAAATACATCTTTTGTGTCAGAACAGGGTGGGACAGGAAGGATCATCCACTGGAAACAACTGTCTTCCCTCTGACAAAGGGAGCGAGGTGGCTTCATTTGACTTAGTGCCCAAGATTTAGGTACAGTAGGGAAAACGAATCCCAGCCCTACTGATCTGGCAGTACAAACCTCAGTGAAAGTCAGTGGGAGTTAAGACTCTTGAACCTTCCAAGTGCTGTAGATAATGCCGCTATTAAGTTTGATGTTTCCTGTGAGATACTTGGCTGTGTCTGGACTCAGAAAAGTGATTTGTTAGTTTAAGCCTGAGACCAAATTCTTCCAAAGGCCTGGTATAAAGGGAGGAGAACAGTGTGATCCATGGCACTGTGAAAGTGATCAGAATCCAATTTTAAGTGGTGCAAGCCCTACAGCAATGTAGTCCGTAAGTAATAGAAGGCATTATTGGGCAGTAATATGCCGAACCTGCGTGACACAATGAGCAGCTCTTTTGGTTTTGCATGGTATTTTATGTTAGAGATGACTTTCATTTTAGAGAGTATTTGAAAATATATCAATTTCTTAGGGATGCAGAGGGAATGCTGGTGGGTAGATGAATTTCTGGGTTCGTGAGGACAGCTTTTTCTGACTGTGGAGGTTTTACAGGTTTCTGTGACCATTTAAAAGGAGGATTGTTGATGTAAAATGTGATCATCCAGATAACAATGGAAAGACTGGTGAAAAATGGCCTTTGCCACTTTATTTTACTCAAGACTCCTCTGCCCTATTTCTGGGCTGACATCTTTACCTCCTAATGTGGAGACCCTGTGCCTCGGAAGCTTAGGGGAGCCCTAGAACCTGTCTGGAGACTCTGCAGCCTATTAAGAGGGGCTGTCTGCAGGGATGGTTTGGCCACTAAGTTACTCCATAATTCGTAACTGAATTATGTCCTGCAAATGGACTTCCTTTGGAGATTGCTCACTGGACTTAAATGGTGCTTCTTATGGTGCAAGTGATTCTTTGACTTGTCATATCCCCTGGGTGGTGAGATAGTGGAGTCTTTAGATTTGGTTTCTTGTGCTGAGTTGAAGTCCTATGTGTTGGGGAACACCATAGCTTAATTAATTGAGTGGCAGCTGAGCACTCAGTACTCCTATTGAACATGTTGCAGGTCAAGAGGAGGCTACACTTTTCACAGAGTTACTTTTCTAGTAATTGATCTTCATCTGCAGGGCATGTAAAAGTTGCAGTTTGTTAGAGTCCCTGATAAATACCTTCTTCAAAGTGACAGAGAGACAACCCATGCATCTCTACCAGTACTCTTCAGTGGTGAGATACTGAAGTGCGTTTGGGTAAATGTTGCATTTTCCTTTTCTCTCATGCTTCCCTCCCCCCTCTCTGTTTTGTTTGTTTCAGGTTCTCGGCCTTTTTGGATCTACACAGTGGAAGTTGCATCTTGTGTATGGCGTGGTTAAGCTTGCAGCCTGTCACCTCGGCCTTCCTCCATTTTGGGCTGGTTACTTTTGTGCTGTTTTTGCATGGTTTGCAGGTGGATGCTGGCCTGACGGGGGACTCAACCAGTTCAGTACAAAACAGCTCGTGTTCAGGATCTTTTGACTGCAAGGAAGGTGTTATCCTGCCAATATGGTACCCAGAAAACCCATCCCTTGGGGACAAAATTGCCCGTGTTATCGTATACTTTGTAGCACTGATCTACATGTTCCTTGGAGTCTCCATCATTGCAGATCGTTTCATGGCATCTATAGAGGTCATTACATCACAAGAAAAAGAAATCACAATTAAGAAACCCAATGGAGAAACCACGACAACCACCATCCGGATTTGGAATGAAACTGTTTCCAACTTGACCCTCATGGCTCTGGGCTCCTCTGCTCCTGAGATCCTTCTGTCTCTGATAGAAGTGTGTGGGCATGGATTCATAGCTGGAGACCTGGGACCATCTACAATTGTTGGCAGCGCTGCTTTCAATATGTTTATCATCATTGCCATCTGTGTCTATGTGATCCCTGATGGGGAAACCAGAAAGATAAAACACCTGAGGGTTTTCTTTGTCACAGCTGCTTGGAGCATCTTTGCTTACATCTGGTTATACATGATCCTTGCTGTATTCTCTCCAGGTGTGGTTCAGGTCTGGGAAGGTCTGCTCACACTTTTCTTCTTTCCACTTTGTGTCCTTCTGGCTTGGGTAGCAGATAGACGTCTGCTATTCTACAAGTATATGCACAAAAAGTACCGTACTGACAAGCACAGGGGCATTATTATAGAATCAGAAGGTGATCACCCTAAGGGAATTGAGATGGATGGCAAGATGATGAACTCCCACTTTCTAGATGGAAACTTAGTGACTGTGGAGGGGAAGGAGGTAGATGAATCTCGCAAAGAAATGATCCGTATCCTTAAGGACCTGAAGCAAAAGCACCCAGAAAAGGACTTGGACCAGCTGGTAGAGATGGCTAACTACTATGCCTTGTCTCATCAGCAAAAGAGCAGAGCCTTTTATCGCATTCAAGCTACCAGAATGATGACAGGAGCTGGCAATATTCTGAAGAAGCATGCAGCTGAGCAAGCCAAGAAGAGCACCAGCTTGCATGAGGTGCAGCCAGATGAACCTGAGGAATTCATCTCAAAAATTTATTTTGACCCATGCTCCTACCAGTGTCTGGAGAACTGTGGTGCCGTTCTCCTGACAGTGGTGCGGAAGGGAGGGGACATGTCCAAGACCATCTATGTGGACTATAAAACTGAGGATGGCTCTGCGAATGCTGGTGCTGACTATGAGTTCACAGAGGGGACTGTTGTCTTGAAATCAGGGGAGACCCAGAAAGAGTTCTCAGTGGGAATTATTGATGATGACATCTTTGAGGAAGATGAGCATTTCTTTGTGCGGCTCAGTAACCTCCGTGTGGTGGAGACCGAGGAACCTCCAGAGCTCAGTAACTCCCCATACCCAAAGGCCATATTGGCTTCTCCTTGTGTGGCCACAGTGACTATACTGGATGATGACCATGCTGGCATCTTCACATTTGAGTGTGATGTTATACACGTCAGTGAGAGCATTGGTGTGATGGAAGTCAAAGTCCTAAGGACATCAGGTGCTCGGGGTACAGTTATAGTGCCATTTAGAACAGTAGAAGGGACAGCGAAAGGAGGTGGAGAAGACTTTGAAGACACCTATGGGGAGCTGGAGTTCAAGAATGATGAAACTGTGTAAGTACTCCATTAATTTCTGTTCCTGGGTCTAGTTTTGGTGTTTAACCCCACATTTTGCATCCATTACAGGTGAATGCTGACAAGGGACAGGCTCCTTTCTTCAGCTTTCCATCAGTTTCCCTACTTAACTCTTTCAGGCAAGAACCGACAGCAGGATTTAAGAGCTCAAAGCTCTTGTCCCTTCCCTCTTGGGAATGACAAAGTAAGGCTTAGAAATACTGGGGGATCGAGGGAATAGGAGGAAAATATATAATTCTCTGAGGTCTTGCACTAAACCTAAGGGTTAGTGAAGAGTTAAGGTAGAGAGAGAATTATAAGGGCAAGCTTTTACCTGCTGGGCAAATACGGGAAAGCCTCTTTTTGAACACCAGTCATAGAGCACATAGGAATTTATTGCAATCCCTAGATGAAAAGTTGACAAGTTATTCCCAGGCAAGTAAGAGCTGCTCAGAAGACCTTGGGGCTTTACTTTCACAGGAGCAATACATCATACCTGTATCCCTAGACTGCCTGTGCAACTTGCAGGTCTGTGTGGCAGCTAATTCACAGCATAGGCACAGCTGCAAGGAATTCTGCTGGACTTGTGAAATCCTTCCAGCCTTTATTTCCCTATGGTCTACCAATATTCTCCACATCACCTTCTCTATGATCTCTGTATGTCTGTTCTTTTACTACCTGTGGTTTTTCCCCTTGTAAAATACCATGGCAATTGGCAATAATGGTCTAAAGCACTGCAGCTCACAGCCTGTCCATGTGCCTCCATGACCCAGTGTTTTCATACAGAATAATGAAGGGAAGCAGAATAGCCTGCACCATCCTGTCAATTCAGCTCTTTTATTGCTTACAAAATAGCTGATACGAAGGTAGGAAGTAATGAAGACCAGAGAGGCGATAATGTCTAATTGCTTTAAGTACCTGCTGTTTAACATCAGTGAGGAATGAGAAAAATCCCTTAGCCGAGTAGGGAGCGGGGTGTGAGCCTGGTGTTAAAACTCCCTGGTGTTAAGTGCCTAGATTCCTCTTGTTAACACCTAATCACTTGAGCCATCAAAGGAAGAATTGAGCTGACTTGCAAGTGGCATCAGAGAAAGGAAATCTTTGTACCAAGCCTCTCAGTACAGTACCCAAAAGTATGTTAATGTACTAAATGCTGTGGAGTAGGGATCTTCTGTTTCAATAGCACCTTCTGCCTTAGCCCACTAAACTATTTAACCCAGCTAATATCCACAGTCTTGATGCTTGATTATAAGTACATGCTCTTCTTATTTAAGGAAGAGGAGCTCTTGGTTGGCTGGCTTCAGCCACTATCAGAGATGGAAGAGGATCGGATGTCCTCATCTGTCCTTTTCAGGGAGATAGGCCATGCAGGTTAGTCTCCTTAATTAAGCCACAAGCTGACTTCTCTAGAGAAAGTGAAGAAGAATTTAGATGTGTGGTTCTAGTCTCCTATGAGTAGACTGTCTAAAATATAATGGCTACTACCTTGCTTCAGCCAGGTCTTGAAAGAAGAGACTTTTCTTCCTTGAACAAGACCCATCAATGAATGGTGAGCAGGTTTGGGTTACCAGAGAATAAGCTCATGAGCCGTATTCCTCCAAAATGTACTGCCTTTCTCCCAGCTGGTGGAATTCTTTTTGTCATTGAAAAGTGTGACAGAAGGTCAGAGCAAACCCACATAGTTGCTCACTTGAGTTAAAACAAATCATATTCAGCAGAACCATGTGCATCCTTCTGGGATAGACTAATGAAAATGAAAGCAGTCCAGAAAACAAGTATGCGTAGGTTGCTTAACACTGTGGTTTGTGACCTACAGAAAATGCCCTAGAGCACAGATGAGACATTTGTGGTTTACTTAAAATTGTGCCCACGCCTAATGAATTAATGTGACTTACACTTCTGCATCTGAAGACTACTGGGAACAAAGCCTGCTAGCCATAGTGGTTATGAAGACCATGTGGCTAGCAAGGATTAATTTCCTTTGAATCTAGAATTAGTGTAGCTGGCTCACCACAGCACAAACTAATAATCCTAACAAGGAGGGAGATCATGTCAGCCAGCAGGTTTCATTTTAAATCTCCAAGTCTTCTGGGAATGGAGTTTTGGGCTGGAAACAGGTGAGGGTAGTTTTCAGTAATTAGCCCTTGGCCTTTAAATTCAGTGAACACAGGTTAGTTGCTGTACTTTGCCAGCTCTTCTCTGAGGTGTGGGTAGCAGTAAAAACCTGGAGGGAGTAATGGCTCAGTTTAATCTCTTCTTCCTTTTCTTCTAAATCTGAATGCAGGAAGATGATTTTGAGCAAGTATTTAGGCTGCAAGCAAATTTGAGGTGATTTGGGTGTGAATTTGGAGTTCAGACCTATAATGCTCCTGTTCTAACAGATGTTACCTAGTTTTCGTCAGCCCAGTTTCCGAAGACGGGTGGATAGGGGTTTTGGGATGCTTTTGCTGACCTGCAGGGTAGCTTATGAGTGACTGGTAATGGTATTGTTTGGTATAAAGCTGTATGAAGACACTGGGTCAATAAATAGCTAGGGGCTTGCCTCTTAAATGCCTTGCCACTGAGGGGGATCCACCACGAGGTACTGACATCCTCTCTGCACTGAAGGGGGAACCAAGGGTCCACAAAGCCTGGTGTAGAGCATAGGGGAAAGCAGGAAGACTAAGGTGGTCAGTAGATAAAGCTAAGGACAGGGGGCTGGGAAGAAATGAGAAGTTACATGGTCCCCATTTTAGCCTACTGATTAGGCCCTTTCTTAGGAAAGGTGAAGCTTGGGCTCAAGTTTTCGTGCTGGTGTAGGAGCTGTTAATGGATGGAGTCCTGCCTACTTCACTGCTTTAACCCTGTCATTCTCCTCATGGAGTCACTTTGAACAGATTTTTGAGTCGTGGAGAAAGGAAATGAATTAACAGCATCTTGCAGACACATAGGACAGTGCTAAGCTTTGCTGTGGCCACACATGTATGCTAAGGATCTGCAGAACTGCAGCTACAGAGAAGTACTGATCAGTGTGAACTGGAGGAGAGTAAAAACTTCATATCCTCAGCTTGTCTGACACACAAAAACTTCAGCTTGTGTTCTGCAGCGGCAGGCAATCTGTAAGTAGTTTGTAGGTCAGCCTCCTTAAGCGTAGCAATAGCTAGATTAATCTGAGAGGCACTGGATTACACAGCATCCTTGAGATTAAACTGTAGGAGAGGTGCTGCTGTCTACCAAATCCCCAGGGCTAAGGATAAGTACTTTCCTGAAAACTAAATGGAGAAAGGGTCTTCGCTTAAATATAACAAGATAAAATAAACTGTCTTGGGATTGTTTTTAAGAGGCTTTCCCTAAGGTATGTAGGACTAAAAAAGCTGAATTGATGCAAACATTGCAGAATGTGAGGGAAATGGATCCTGCCACCGGCTCTTGCTTCTTGCCTCTGTGATTCTTTCTAGACTAACATGGTCAAAGTTTCCTTACTCACTTTTGGGTGGGAGCACAAGAGAAAGCAGGCTGAGATGAGGAGTCTTGAAACAATGCTGTTATTACTGAAATACGTCCCCATGCAGTGTGTGTGTGTGTGGCTGTGTATGGGTGTTGGATAGCTGTAAGTCCAAGCCATATAATCTTGAATGCTGCCACCTGTTGAGAAAAGAATTGATCAGATCTCAAATAATTGATTATGCTGCCTCTTTTTCAATACACTGGTTATTTCTGAACTCCTCCTCCAGTGAGAGTCAGATACAACCTAAGCAGTTGAAGCAGAATCCTAGGCTCCCGTGAGGGTCAGATATGACCTAAAGCAGCTGAAGCAGAATCTTATCTCTCTTGTTGACTAAAAGGAAACTCAAAAAATCAAATCCTAAAGTTAGATTCTTTTTTTCCAAGATGACCAAACACTTTTCTATTAAACGATTTTATATGGAAATAAATGTTAGGTTCTTGGATGTATGAAAACATAGAAGAATGACCCAGCTGCTTTATCATATCCAAGCAATAAAGAAATCATGAAGAGTCAGCAGCAAAAAATGAGTTGGGTTTTAAAGGTTTTTCTCTTTGCGTAATAAAGGCAAGTCATTACATTTAATTTAAACTTTCTGTTTAAACCGTTTTCTCTGTTTAAACCTGTTTAAATTCATATGGAAATTCGTTTAGCCTTGCTTTAGAAAGTTTAGGAAGATACACAAGTTACCAGCAGCTAACTGACATGCCAGTTAGAAAATTAAGTGGCAAGTTTTGCTGTGGCAACATCCCTTGCAGCAGCTATACTGAGTTAAGGTTTAGACCAAAAGATCTACTTTGTTATTTGCCTTTGTTGCTGGTTGCTCAATTACTTGCAGCACCCGAAGGCTCCTAGAGGTGTAGCCATCTGTCCCGAGTCTGTAGTTCTCAGAGTATTGCCTATGGCTTGGGAAGGAAACGGGTGTTGAGAGATGCTGTGGTGGTAAACTGGTATTAAATGTCCTGCAAATCCTCTTTGCAAAGTCAGCATGGCTGAACTTTGTTAACATGTGGAAACCTACAGTCACTGATGTGCGTTAGGCAGAGCTCTCGGTAACAGAAGGGCTGTCTCCCCCGTTCATACAGAGACTGCTGGAGACAAACGTATTAAGTCTGCCTCAACAGGCTGTGAGATGATTATATTTTTTTTTTTTACTTTAGGTCTTGGGCAGGCCGTTGTGTACAAGTTGCTTGTTGCACCTCCTTGTCTGCTTCCCCCTCAGAGAAGCCCCCAGGCTGCTGTGTGCATGGCTGTGGCTGCTCCAAGAGTCACTGTGAACCTTGGGCTGTCTGAGTGTGTGTTTACCTTGGTGGGCTGGTCCTCCAAAGTGCTGCCATCATCCCGAGCAGTGGAAAACCACAAGCATTTCTTCCCATTAGGGGCTTCAGGCCTTTTCTGGCACAGGAGCTCATGGAGTGCGCGTGTCATGGCCAGGGCTTGCGCCAGAGGTGGTCCTGTCTAGGTCAAGTTCAGGTTGGTGCTGTGCGACAAGGCTGGTGGTTAATGACTGTCCCTGGCAGCTACCACATGCTGCTGG